GCTGCATCCTGTAAGTTTTGGTGTGTTGGGTTTCCATTTTAATTTGTTTCAGTATTTTTTTATTTGCCTTTGGATTCTTCCTTGACCTTTTAGTTGTTCAGAAATGTGTTATTAATTCCCCACATATTTGTGAATTTTCCAGTATTCTGTTATTGAATCCTAGGTTCATGCCATTGTGGTCAGAAAAGATACATGATATGATTTCGGTCTTAAATTTGTTAACTTGTTTTGTCACCTAACATGTTATCTATCCTGGAGAACTCTTCTATGTACACTTAAAAAGAAAGCATTCTGCAAATGTTGGCTGGAATGTTCTGTTAGGAATATTTGGTATATAGTCTTGTTCAAATATGTTGTTTTATTGATTTTTGTCTGGATGATCTATTCATTATTGGAAGAGTGGTATTTAAATCCCCTGCTATTACTTTGTTGATATCTACTTCTCCCTTTAGTTCTATTGATATTTGCTTTATGTATTTAGATTCTCTGATGTTAGGAGCATATATGGTTACAATATCATATCCTTTTGATGAATTGACCCCTTTATTTTTATATAATGACCTGCTTTGTCTCTTGTGACAATTTTTAACTTAAAGTCTGTTTTGATGTAACAGTTATAGCCAGGCCTGCCCTTTTGGTTGTCATTTGCATGGAATGTCTTTTTCTGTCCCTTCACTTAGAACCTTTAATCTAAAATGTGTCTCCTGGAGACAGCATATAATTCAATCTTGATTTTTTTTTAATATATTCATCCACTCGGTTTTGATTAGAGAATTTAAACCATTTACATTTAAAGTAATTACTGGTAGGTAAGGACTTACTCTATTTTGTTGATTGTCTTCTGTTTTATAATTCCTTTGTCCCTTTCTTCTTTCTTTAATGATTTGTTTGTGGTGTTATACTCGGATTCCTTTCTCTTTATTTTGGGTATCATAGGTTTTTTCTTTGTGATTACAATGAGACTTTTATAAAACATAGCATTGGTAATCTTATTTTAAGCTGATAACAGCTTTAATGCATGCAAAAATTGTATGCATTAACTTCTTCCCTTCATTTTATACTATTGATTCCACAATTCACATTTTTATCCACAATTCACATCTTTTTTTTTTTTTTTTAAAGATTTTATTTGTTTATTTGATGGAGAGAGAAACACAAGCAGGGGGAATGAGAGAGGGAGAAGCAGGCTTCCCGCAGAGCAGGGAACCCGTTAAGGGGCTTGATCCCAGGACCCAGGGATCATAACCTGGGCCGAAAGCAGACGCTTAACAACTGAGCCACCCAGGCACTCCTCCACCATTCACATTTTTATATTGCATATCCATTAATAAATTACTGTAGCCAGTTATCTTTAATACTTTTGTCTCTAGCTTTCATGTTAGACTTAAGACTTAAGTGATTTATGTGTCATCATTATAGTATTAGAGTATTCTGAATTTGTCATAGTGAGTTTTATACTTTCCTATGTTTTCATGTTGTTAGTTAGTGTCCTTTTGTTTCACCTTTAAGAACTGCCTTCAGCATTTCTTCCAAGGCAGGTCTAGTGGTTATGAACTCCTTCAGATTTTGTGTGTCTGGGAAACTTTTTCTCCTTCATGTCTGATGGACAGTTTTGCTGGTATGGTATTGTTGGTGGCAGTTTTTTTTCTTTCAGCACTTTGAATATATCATTCCATTCTGTACTATCATACAGCCTTTCTGCCAAGGCTAAGAAATTTAGTCTTAAGGGGTTTCCCTTGTTTGTAACCATTGTCTTTTCTCTTGCTGTTTTCAAAATTCTCTTTGTCTTTGGTTTTTTGTCAGTTTGATTATAGTGTGTTTTGGTGAAGCTATCTTTGTTTAATCTATTTAGGGTTCTTTGGGCTTAACGGATCTACCTGTTCATTTCCCTTTCTAGATTTAGGGTTTTCTGTATTATTTCTTTTTTCTTTTTTTTTTTTTTTTTTTATTTATTTGACAGATCACAAGTAGGCAGAGAGGCAGGCAGAGAGAGAGAGGAGGAGGCAGGCTCCCTGCTGAGCAGAGAGCCCGATGTGGGACTCGATCCCAGGACCCTGAGATCATGACCTGAGCCGAAGGCAGAGGCTTTAACCACTGAGCCACCCAGGTGCCCCTCTGTATTTCTTTAAAAATAAATTTTCTGTTTGTCTTTCTCTGCTCCTTTTGGACTGCCATAATGCATGTATTTGATTCCTTTAGTGATATAAGTTATCTAGTCTCCCTTTACTCTTTTTTTTTCTTTTTGTTCTTCTCATTGGGTAACTTCAAATTACCTGCCTCAGGCTCTCTGGTTCTTTCTTCATCTTAATCAAGGCTGCTGTTAAAGATCTCTGAATTTTTCACATCAGTCAGTTGTGTTCTTTAGCTCTAGAGTATCATAAAAACTTTTTATGGCTTCTCTTTGTTGAGCTGCTGCTGCTATTGCTTCTTCTTCTTCTTTTTTTTTTAAGTAGACTCCATGCCCAACATTGGGCTTGAACTCACAAACCTGAGATCAAGAGTCTCATGCTTTACCAACTGAGCTGGCCAGGTTCCCTGAGCTTCTTATTTTTATTCATATATTACTTTTCTCATTTTGTTGAGTTGTCTGTTCTCTTTTATAGCTCAGTGAACTTTCAAATGATTATTTTGAGTTCTTTGTCAGGAATTTCATAGATCTCCATTTCTTTAAGGTCAGTTATTGGTACTTTATTTTGTTCCTTTGATAGGCTTGCTGCTGGAGTGCTTTGGCAGACTGGCCTGGCTCCTAGGTCCATGGGTGTGTGGGTCTACTTCCTGGGTTCATGGAAGTGGGCCCGGCACCAGGGTCCACTTGGGTGGCCTGGCCAGGTGCCTGGTCTACTGGGGCAGGTCTGGTGCTGGGGTTCATTGGGGTGGTCCTGGAGCTTGGGCCCATAGGAGTGGGCTGGAGCCATGGGGCATCAGCCTGGTGCTGAGTTCTGTGGCTTAGTGAGTGCTTACTTCACTGTCCTTCTCCCAAGTGAAGCATATCTCCGTGCTTGCAGGAAAAGTAATGTGGGTAATGTGAAACTGTCCTTCCTATCCTCTTTGAATCCATCCTTTCTTATTTCTGTGTAACACCCAGTTGTAATCTTGGACCCAGATGCCTGCTCTCTCATGCATGTGTGGTTATTGAAATTGATGGTTCTGTGAGAAGACTTGTGCTGGAAACCCCTATTCTGCCGTCTTGCTGATGTCAGTGTCAGTCGTTTCTGTCCTTTCTGAAATTGCATGTTTATCATTTTTCCCTTACTTCTGATGGTCACTCTCTTAAGACTATAAATTGCTTGTTGTCAGGCTAAGGAAATTAGAACAGTTAGATGATTTGGTTTTCCTAGAAATTCTGGTGCAATTGTTGGGAATTGGGGGGGAAGTAATCATAATGTTTGTGTATCCATTTTGGTTTTTTCTTCTGGTATAGTCCAAGTCTTCCTAGGTTCAAAAAACGTATTTTCTTTAGTCCATTTGCTTTTCACTCTAAAGAGCCATAGAAAAGCAATACAGACAGAAATGCTATATTATAAGGTAGTAAGGTAAAATGTTAAAAGTTGGGAAGGTGAACATCAGTTAAATTAGGAGTCAGATTTGATTTGATCTTTAAAGGTTTTGTTTGTTTGTTTGTTTGCTTGTTTTTTTGTCAGAGAGAGTGAGCACAGGCAGACAGAGTGGCAGGCAAAGGCAGAGGAAGAAGCAGGCTTCCTGCTGAGCAAGGAGCCCGATGTGGGACTCGATCCCAGGACACTGGGATCATGACCTGAGCCGAAGGCAGCCGCTTAACCAACTGAGCCACCCAGGCGTCCCTAAAGTTTATTTATTTTTATTAGTAATCTCTACACCCATTTTGGGGCTCAAACTCATGACCCCGAGATCAAGAGTTGCATACTCTTAGAACTGAGCCAGCCAGGTGCCCCAAGAGTCTGATTTTAAATTAATGTGAGAATTCAGCCCTATCAGCATTGAAGCATTTCATAGTCTTCTGAAAAACTTCTGAAAAGGCTATGTTCACATGGCCTTATGGCAAGAGCTGAGTACAGGTGATGTTTGGCCTTTTTTCCTTAAGTTTTTTTTTTTTTTTTGATTGTAAAATATCTTACATATAAAGGGATACATATGACAATATATTGAATTTAAAGAATATTAAAATGAATACCCATGGACCCACCACCTTGCTTATTAGAAGGCTCTAGGGGCTCCTCCCTATTAATCTTGAATTTAGTATCTTGAATTTTGTATTAATTATTTTTTAATGTACTTTTTCCGTGTGTGTGTTTCTAAACCAAGGTATCAGTTTTTCCTGGAGATTCTTCACGAATTTTCATGCAGTCTTACAGCTCCAAGAAATGCTTTATTTTGTAAGAAAGCACATTGGGAGCCTGTATTCCGAGGCTTCTGGATCGCAGAAAGGGTGGGAGAAGTAGATGCAAGAGCATTGCTGTGCACTCTTTTTTGGGGCCAGCAGGTGGCAGTAAGACAACTTAAATTTGGGAAGGTTTTCCTGGGTAAAGAGGTTGGAGAGTAGTAATTGTGCCCAAACTGGATATGAGAATCTGGAGTTTGTAGATTTACTAAGCTCTGTATCCACATAGACTTGTGATAAACATAAATACTGTATTTTCCCACACTTAACTTTCAGAGACTTAAGTTACTGTAACATTTATAGCATGTATTTAAAAAATATGTTCAAAAATGGCATCATGCAGATGATCTTAGAGGAAGGGGATAAGGGGGCCCTGGGCTGAGAGAAGGTTGGTATGACCTGGGCACATGAGTGACCTGCTCTTATCAAGCCAAGTCTGGCTAGACCCCCGCCTCTCCTGTCTGAGAGCGTTCTATGAATGCAAGGGGTTAATCAACAGTCTTAATAGTGTAATTGACAGTTGTATGTCAGGTACTTAAATGAGTGCTGAAATGTTTAGGAATGGGTGTGGCTTCCTAAGGCCTTTAGTTGCTATATAAATGCTATTACTCTCTTCCTGACTCATTTTTCTTTCATCTCACAGCAACACTTTACGAGTCACCCGTTCTGCTGCCCCCAGCACACTGGACAGTTCCAGCACTGCCCCCGCTCAGCTGGGAAAGAAAGGCAAAGAATTTGAGTTCTCGCAGTTGCCCCTCAAAGTGGAGTTCCTAGAGTGCAGTGCCAAGGGTGGAAGAGGGGACACGTGCTCCGCAGACATCCAGGACCTGGAGAAATGGCTGGCGAAAATCGCCTGAGGGGCAGGGCCAGAGCTCAGGATATGAATGTGAATGTGTGTGGCCCACAGTTTTGGAAAAGGGTTTGGTAGCCTGGAGGTGATAAAGAAGTTGATAAAGAATGGGTACAAAATGTAATTAGAAACATTTTCTTGTTCTGGAAACAAATTATTGTTGAAAGTAACTTGGAACTTTTGTTTTTCAGTTTAGTTCTCCCTCAGTGCTTTCTAATCACTTACCTGCCTGTGTTTCTTCCCTTGGTTAAGGTTTATGTCATGTCCCTTTAGCAAATGCTTGACCAAGGTCTTTGTGACCATAACAAGTGGATCCACATAGAGAGGATATTATCATGAGAGTACAGTTATCATCTGAAAAGTTTCTTATCCTCTGCTTCTGTGTGTTAGTCCCTTTTCCTGAAAACAAACCTGTCTGTGTATGGAACCAGTTGATTCCATTTGCCCTTGATGTTCATGGGCAGTACGTCATCTAGTCCTTTGTGACTTCTCCGAGGTGTGTGTGTAGTTACCGTGCGGTCTCCCGACATGCAAAGAAGACAGGTAGGAAACAGCAAGGCTGTGTTGACAGCGGGTCTGTTCTTCATCAACGTGGTGACTTGTCCACACTCCAGCCTCACAGCACTCAGGTTTTAAAAACTTGCCCTGAACCCCTGGAGTCATTCCCAGATGATAGAACTATAAATGCTAAATCCTCACACGGCAAGCGTCTGATGTGCTCTCGTGGTTTCCCTTAGCTGAGGAGTATATAAAGATTTAGAAGCTGTTTGTGGTTTTTTGGATGGCTGAGGGCTCCTGGGCTACGTTCCTTTACTGTTTGACCAGCCCCTATTTTGTACTCGGAGCTAGAATGCTGTGGAACACATGCGAATTTAAAAAGTTCTCCATAGTTTTTTAAAGTGCATATTCACTCATGGTTGAAAGAAAAGTCAGCTTTTTCAAAGTGGTATTCTTTGTTGTCTTCTTAAATGTTGACTTTTTTTTAATGGCTTTTATAAATTATTAATGCGTTTCTTGGTAAATAAACAACGTGTCTGGCTCAGAGCAATTGAGTGGAATGGTAGAGTGAGTACAACTGGGAGCATGTGTTAGGGTACAGGCTGAGCTCCATTATTTCCAGGGCCTGAAGATTGCAGCATACACAGGAACAAACTGCTGTCCCTACTTCACACACTCAGGGACAAGCCGCACTAAAGCTTCAGAGGAGACAAGAGTAGCTGTGGGTGAAGGAGAAGCTGGTCCCAGAACAGTGTGGTCAGAGCCAGGACAGGAGAGGTGTCGGGGCTCGGCAGGCGCACAGCAGGGGCACCTCGCCTGGCTGTGAGGGGTCAGGGAGAGTCAGATAGAAGCATGGGGCCGAAGCATGGGGCCGAAACCATCCCAGAGAGTGCGGTCCCCTTGTCTGTGCTCTACAGCCCAAGCCTCTGCCTTCCCGCCTGCCTGTGGGTCATCCCAGCTCTGCATGAGAGCACTCCAGCTCTCCTCTTCCCCCAGCCCTGGATCCTACGCCTTGCTGCTCGCTTGTGGAGGAAGTGCGGGCGGAAATGGAGAAGACAGTGGGCCTTGACCCACACAGTTCTTATTTGAAAGCCTTATTGCTACTTGTGTTCTTACCATCCTTTGGATTCTTAGTTTTTGTCCTTTTTAGCCAGCAGTAATTTAAGGAAATAGGTAAGAATAATGAACCAGAAATCAACAGAGAATGTGATGAATGTGACACATTCACATAGCTACAGTGGGTGCTCATGTGAATAAAAATCTGGCTTGATGCTTCCGTTAAGAGGCATGTGTGCTCAGCTTCATTTTGTTTTCCTGGTTAATAAATTGTTTTCTTTACTGGAGGAAGCAATACACCAAAAAAGTCAAGTTCTCTCTCAAGCAGTGATTCTCAGATGTCAGTGGGCATCAGAATGATGTGTGGTGCCCAGTGGACAGCTGTTCTGAGGACCCCACTCCCAAACGTTCAACTCAGTGGCAGTTCTGGTGTGGTCTCGGGTCTGCGTGCTCATTGTGTCCTGGGCCAAGTACGTGGGGCTTCTAGGAGCGCCCTACAAACTCAACCTGCCCTGGAGTGAGTGCCACACGTACCTTCAAGAGACTAGGTTTTTAAGTCCTTGGGGCCACATGCCCTGTTTAGTTTTTCTCACAGGGTGTGAAGTAAGCAAGCAAGCGTCAGAGTCCCTCCCAGGTGCTCTCATCCTGCTTCCTACTCCTGTGCTCTCGTTATCCCATTCTTGTGCGTTTGGGCCACGGGGAGATCGTGGTGACCAGTTCTTGGGTGCTGGGAAGGGGTTCCAAGAGGTCCCATGTATAGTTCTCTAATCTTGGTATCCTCTTGTGGCCCTGAAGCCGTTCAGCCACGGGGACTGGCAGACGAGGCACAGCTATGGGTCAAAGATGAGACCGCTGAGGCTTGAAGCAGTTCCTTCTTGGGAACACAGCAGTGTCTGAGCCACTGGATGTGTATGGGCCCTGCCACCTGCTCACAGGCCAGCTGCCGCCTGATACAAATAACCCCATTCCTTGCTAAAGGAGAGGTGCAGGATGCAGGGAGGTGCCATTATGTGTGTGGGGGGTGGCTGTGATGAATATGCCCCGGGCACGCCATTGCTTCTGGAATGGGGTCCTCCATGGGGTGTGGAACATGTGCAGACTGAGGGGTCGGGGTACTGTTGGCCTGTTTATTCCAGTTCTTTTTTCAAGCCTTTTTCCTAGGGGTCTGGGGCCTTGGCAGCCCCTCCACTGCCAGTAACCTGGCCGTTTGCTGGAGTCCGAGTCAGCAACAGCAGTTCTTCGTAGGGAGTGCCACTTACATTTTCCCATGGCTTCTGTCTCAGCACTTCCTGGGATTCGTGTCCCCCTGGGATCCTCTTGCATGTGAGGCACTTAGTGTTCCATTGACTTGAGATTATTATGTTTCAACTGAAATGTGTGTTTCTGTTTGTGGTATTTTTGGTATATGTGTGTATCGGAATACTTTGGTATTTCTAAATACAGTTAAGCATAGGATTATCAAAGCTGCTTTCTCCACTCTTGCTCACTGGACACAACGCAGCTACAGTGATAAGGAAAGCCACCTCGAGCAGCATCCTTCAGTGCCGTGCGGGGCACTTCGGGACAGGTCATCACCAACCCTCTGTCATCTTCATGTTTGTGTGGGGAATCTCAGGGTGCTCCATTCTTCTGGCAAGGGCCGGGGCTGCTGGACGGTTATGTTGATGCTGTGTCCTACATTATTTCCTCCCCTTGCTATCTCAAGTCCTGTTATCCTGACCACAGTAATCCTGGGAAATGGTTGTGGGCTCGGAACAGCTTGCCTCTGGCTTCAGTCTGGTTTGTACAAGTATGTGCGCTTCGGCTGTCAGGCCTCTCCCCCTTGCTATCCCCTGGACCTCCTCTACCTCATCTTACGTCTGGCAGCCAGAGAAGTGAGGCTTAGTGGGCAGAGCATCCATTTCTTGTCCCTCCTAATTTAGAGGTGGCTTCTCTGAGGTGGCAGATAGGAGGGTGTTCCAGAAACTTTAGAACCTTCAAAAGGGAAAAATATGTAGTGAGGTTGAACTCAAAAAAGAATGAGACCTGGTGAACTTGGCTTACTCCATAGCTCCAGGATTCCCAGCATTCTCAGGCCAGAACAGTTCTGGGCCTGATCTTGGCCTTTGTGTCCTCTCTGGATTGGTCTCACAGTTGTTCAGGATTTCAGGGCATCTTTTAGTCTGGAAATGACTGACATCTGAAGGGGCCTCTCAGGGATGTTCTCTAATCAGTGTGGGGAAAAGCAGGAGTGGGTATGTGGCTGCTTGGTATCACCTGGAGGATGATTATGGCTCACCTTAAATTCTTTAATGGCTTTCTGGACATCGCCAGAAGGGAGAGAGGTTCAGCCCCTGCCCCCACCCTTCAAAACCCCCAGCCATGGCAAGTGGGAACCAGGGATGACAGAAGTTATTACACAGCCCTGAGTCTCAGTTCGGCCTGGGGCTTCCCTTTCCATTAGCCTTCAGACAGTGGAGTTGATGGAAATGAGTGAGACTTTCACCTCATTAGTGTGTCTGAGGATGTGAAGGGCCCAGGTGAAGAAGAGGAAGAAGCAAAGGGCTTTGGGTGGTAGACCCCCAGACGTGAGACAAGGGTTTGTGGAGCAAGTGTGTGAAGAAATCTGGTTTGGCACAGTGCCCCCCCACCCCCAAATAGCCCCCCATATATGACTGCACCACTTAGAAACACGGGACAAGAGGTTTTGTGTTGAGAATCAGGACAGTTTATTGTTTGATCAACATGCTGAGTCTTCCACATTTTACACAGTTTTATGTAAAGTCAATGTGGCCATTTATGCCTGCTGAGCCAGTAAAAGATGGAAATGCCACCCTCTGTGCTCCTCATGGCCAATCGCTTTCAAGGGGATGGGTGAGGGAAAGTGAGAGGACAAGTTGACACACCACACGATGCAGGCTGGCCTTCCGCATCTGGAAGCTTCTTATTGGAAGGAAGCTTCCCAACCCCACTGCAAGGATGAGCCATGCCCTCCGGGGAATGTCACCCACACAGGGGTCTGGCGCCAGAGAGTTTACACGTGAGAGCCCAAGGTTTTGGAACACCTAGATAGTTCATTTCAAACAAAAACTCAGAGGGTGCCCTGGTGTTTGGGTGCCCATGACAATCAGAGTGGACTTGGGGACTGGCCCTTCTTGGCAATCAGGAGTGTGAAATGGACATGCATTTTTTCCCAGCTCACTCAACCAAGCTGGCCAGAGTTCTAACCAGAGTAGAGGTGGTCTGAGGAGCACCCGTGCCCCGCAGCCCTTTACGTGCAAGTGCACCGTCACATCTGCACACACAGGTTGATGATAGATAAAGAACGGAAACACCTTGGCTCTGATGGCTTCCGGCTTGCTGGATGACCAAAAGCAAGTGGCCCTTCTCTGCCCTGGTCTTCCTGCCTGTGAGACAGGAAGGGTTGCAAGACCTCCATGTCATGCTGCTATAGCGAGGTGGTGACGACTCACGTGATTGGGGGAGAGGTAGTTTGGAAATTAGTGAGCAGCATATGGCCCTGCTTGGTTGCTGCACCAAAACCTGTTGGGCTGCCCCTCACGTGGCTCGGATGGGACTTAATTCTTGGCTACCTGTTCTCACATCCTAACACCCTCACCTGCCTTCTGCCATGTGAAGGAATGAAGCTGCTCTGCCTACAGGACACCGAAGCCAGCGGTGCCTGGTGTCACACCTGGTACTTGAGGGCAGGCACGCCCAGCACCGGCTTGCCATCGGGAGGCCAAAGACGTTGCACTCAAAAGAGGTCTGTATATTTAATTGCCATTTTCATTCTTGTTTCTGTTGCCTGAGATTCTCGAACTGACCTGCCCATTGCTCCTCAGACCCGGGAGTGTTCCAGAATGTTTGAGGATGCTGACAGAATAGAGTGGTGACAATGATGGCAGAGAGGCCTCTGACCAAGAGGGACTTGCTCCTAACCACCCAGCTTGCTAACCGTGGACTCCACGCTGCAGTTCTCACACTTAAGCTGTTGACATCACACCTTCCTTCTGGCATGTGTGTGCACTTATAAATACGCTATCTGCTTCTTGCATCTTACACTCTTTTTCAAATACCTGTGGAATAGGAGCTTGACTGACAGCTTCTGAGATTGCCCCCGCTCAAAGGGGAAAAAAAAGCCTGAAGAGGAGGACTCTGGCCATCTCCCAGGTGAGGGCTAGTCCTCAGGGAAAGGGACTGAACAACAGCTTTGCCTCAGGCTAGCCCATCTGGATTTGGCAGGGATGTACCACTCGCTGGGGACGTGGAGGCAATTTCATCCCCTTTTCTTCAAGGGAACCTGACCATTTTATTACTGGACCTTAACTCCAAGTCAAGATACTACCTATAAGCAAGAGAACAGTGATGGTACCTGCTTAAAATGAGAGCCAGGGAACCAACCCGCTTCTATGCAAGAGATCTGGCTGCCTCAACAGCCCAGGAAGGGAGGGGTGGAAATTAGGCCTGAGAGGAGGAGGGTCATGGAATGGCATGGCACCACTAAGATGGGACAGCAAGAGAGACAACTGCCCTCACCTGAAGCCCACAGGGCTGGGGAGAGGCTGGACTCGAGAGGGGACCTTGTGTAAATGCTAGGAAGGCAGGGCTCACCAAGGCCACATCAAGCCATGTGACATCTATCTACTGCATCTCTTACTGTTCCCAGGCTATGATGGTAAAAAAATGTTCGTGGTGCCTTAACTATGTGTGCACATGAGAAGGGGACTGAGTTTCTGCTTTGTTTTTACAGGAATGTTTCAGAAAAGCTACTCTTTAGTACCAAGAAAACTAAAATCCACCATTCATTCATTTACTGGGACCCAATGCAGATCCCAGCAAATGGGGCTGTCCCACAGGCCAAAAGCAATGGCCCTCACTGCTGACCAGGCCGGACGCTATAATGTGGACTCTTATAAATTCTCACGAGGTAAGTAAGCACTCTTTCAACAAGCACCACTTGCGGGGGTGCCGTGGTTGGGGGTACTAGCCCACACGGGCATGCACACCTATGCATATAAGTATAGAGAGAAATGGTGCACATATTCCCATGGCTATTTTTGCCTGTAGTTGAACACATCTATGCATTAGTTTATTGATGGCAAGACAATCACAAGTTTTTTGACAATATTAAGTATTTCTTATTTCAACACGTTGCAGTACTTTTGAATTTCCAAAACTGTTATCACAATGCAAGTTCCAACTTGAGAGCAGGAAAAACAAGAATATACACTGAGCACATGTATCTCTGTGAGAATGTGTGTGTGGAAGGTGTATACACAAGTCTATCTCTATATATAATTATGTACACACATATAAAAACTAAACACATGACACTGGAATTACGTTCGTACTTCAGTCTTTGCCTTCTGGAAGAGGAGCTCAGTGAGAATCCTACTTCTCTTCTTCACCTGAAGATAAATTCCTCTCTAAAGATCAGCTCTGAAATACACAATCTCCTTAAGCTGAATGTGTGACAGGCCCACTGGACAAATACCAGTGAGTCCTGTCCACTTACTGGCTGCCATTTTGGATTAGTTTCTGAGAAGTTCCAAAATTACAATTGCAATAACTTGTTAGAGTCCTGTTTTGTGGAGGAATTCCCCCCCTCCCACTCCCAGATGGTCATTTAGCTCACCTAGGACATGCCCAACAGCAGTCTGGAGGCAGAGACCATGCCAGCTTGGGAGGGTAGGGTTTATGGGTTTTGGCCAGAGTTGCTGCATACGGCCTGGCTCTATGCAGGGTCAGATTCAGTAAACCTGGATCTATTTGGAATGCTGGCCAAATGGGTTGCATTCCCTTAGAATTCTCTTCAGAGATTTTACAGGCCCTCAGGACTAAGCCCTTCTCAGAAATGAGTCGAAATGGCAAGGATGGCTCTCTGGGCAGCCTTCTGGAAACCACACATCAGCAGCACCCTCAGGCAACCAAAGCGCTGCTGCAATATCCTCAGGTACGTGCACAATGACTACGACTGCTTGATGCCAGTGGGGCAAGTCAGCTTTTCCAGAACAGTGCTCAACAGTATTAGCAACCGAGGATCTGAACATGCATCTTCAAGGTCGTGGTACCGGAATCAACACCCCCTTCCCCAGTCACAGACACACACCATGCGATACAGGCTTGAGCTTCCCTGGCGTGCAAGGCCAAGGGCTTCAGGGCAATACACACTGAGTTTCTCTTTGCTGTTTCCTTAGACTCAACCCAGACACGGGTGCTGACTACTGGGAAGGTTGGTTAGAACATTTTCAGAAACACACATGGTGCCCCAAGGCTATGAACCACAGATTGACCTGTACAAGCCCACAGTTGCCAACAGCACCCCATCCTTCCTTCCGCCAGTCACTGAGTGGGCCACAGAGGGCACAGGATGCAAGGCAAGTGCCCTCCATGCCTTCAAGGCTTGTCAGGGAGGGGAGGGGGAAGGCAGGAGTAATTCCAGTGAGGCCTCTGGCTGGGCTCCCTGCCATCCACAAGGCCTTAATTTCAGCTCAGGGCCATGGCTGATGTCCCACTCTGGCCACGGAAGGAGGACAGAGTTAAAAGTTGCCTCTTCAGAGGCTGTTTTGTTCAGTGTTTGATTTAACCAGGTAGGGCCTGTTTGGTGGGTGGGGCTTGGGACAGGAGCCTAATTAAGTTGCCCCATTAATTGTAATTTATTGGGCTAGGGTGGAAGGAGGGCAGAGGTGATGACCATTCAAAGAGGGCAGGAAGGAGGAGGTGTGTGGAAAAGGTTTTCTGTAAGTTTACAAATATACAAAAACAAAAAGCACATCTTTTAAATAAAAATGACTACATTTTTATCTGGCAAAAAGTTGTATACACATGATTTAAATTTTTTTTTAAATTTTAACAGTTTTTGGCAATCTTAATAAAGTACAATATATTACAACCAAACCAAAAAATAGTTGTTTAAGTAACAGCTGTTAAGAGTGACGTGATCCCTGATGCCCAGCCTCCCTCCCCACCCCACCCTACTCCTAGAGACAGAGGGAAAAGAAAAATCCTCCCATCTTGATAAGCTCATTTCCCACCCCCCTTAGGAAGCTAACCAATAGGAAGCAACACAACAAGCGAGTAGTGTCAAAGGAAGCCAGCAGATCAGGCTGCATTAGCAGGAGCAGCCGCCCTCACTGGCTGGGGGCTCCTGGGGTTTGTCCAGCTTGATGTCAATCACTGCGGGAGGCTGCTAAGGAAGATGACTGACGAGAAGCTGCCACCTAGCTCCTGTCCCTGGGCACCCCTCAGCTGCCCTGTGCAGATCCTCCATCCTTCCACAAAATACCTAAGGACTCCTGTCCTTGCTGGGCCTGGGGAGGAAGGACGCAGTGTCACCAGCCCCCACCCCTCTTCTTCCCACAAGCTCTCCCCCTCATTCACCTGAAGCAAAGCTGGTCTTGGGCTGTGGGATGACTGCACAAACACCAGCACCACGGGCCCTTCCTCAGAAGCCTTCTTGGTAACCAGGGCCTCAGCCTTGTCAGCAGCCCATCCCATCCTCAAGGGCACTGAAGTGGACAGCCTGCTGATCAGCTATGAATCCCACATCTCAGCCCAGGGCTAGGTGGGCCTTGCCTAGCCAGTCGCAGACACACTAACCCCTCGAGCTCTAGTGAGAGTGTCACTTAGATTCTGAGGATGCTGTTGGGGGAAGGCAGAGCCCCAGGAAAGGCCTCCAGCCCTTCCCACTGGTGCCCTGAGACTGTGGGCGGGAGGAGCACCCGTCAGAACCACCCAAGGAATGTCTTCAAAATGCACAGCCAGGTAGTCCCCGTGCCCTCAGCAGGCTGATGGGGCAGCGGGCCTGCTGCAGGAAGCCCCAGGGCAGCCGACAGGGTGGAAGTGTAGGAAGCGCTGCCGTGGGACCTGCTGTGGCCGTCCTAGGGATGTTTGCGTGGCCTCTGTTTCAGGGCTATGGGAGAGACTGTTTTGGCTCTGTACTATGAAGAGCCACGCTTCTCCTAAAGACCCCCTTTTCTCTCCTTGCCACTCTCTGGCCAAGGCATATATTTTGAATATGACTTTCTCTGACTTTCCCTATTTTTATTTTCCCTACACCTACATAAATAACATTTTTACCTCATGTATATATACACGAACATCTTTTTTTGGCAACATGGCAGAGAATAAACTGCCTTCCTTCCTACTTCCTTCCACTGGGCCCATCGGACTACCTCTCTGAACCTCCATTTCTGCTTCGGAGTATGGTCTGAGGTTCAGGGTGGGCTGTGCGAGTGGCGTGCAGACTCTGTCCCACAGGGCAGTGGGCGCACCGGGGCTGTGCAGGGCCGGGCCGAGGAAGTGGGCAGGACACGGGACAGGGGTATCTGCTGGGGAGACGGTCTCATGTAGACTAGGCTGAACCGTGTTCTGGGTGGAGAGTCTTCCACGCAGTGGAGAGTCTACTGGTACCCATGGAATACAAAGTGATGCTCACTGCGAACCTGGGCAGTTACTATTTCTCACTCCCCGCCCTGCACAGACATTCACATCCATCTGGTCCACACCGCCCTCACCCCCCGGCATTGTTTTGGAAATAGAAGCTTAGACTGTTCCAACTGGATGAGGTCTTAAAGCCCTTGGAGTTCAGCCTTGTCCCGGTCCAGAGGCGGGCCCACAACATACCCCTCAGCAGAGAAGGATGGGCTGGAGACCAGGCAAGGGCTCGCTCACTGTTCTGAAGTACTAAGTGAATATGTCAATGGATAAATGGCTTCTCTAGCACATCTTTCACTCACTTATCAAAGGAAAAGGATACTCCCTTCTTTGCTTTTCTCCTGGACATTCTCCATTCCAGGCAAAGCTGATGCCACACGTCGGAAGAGCTAGAGAGGGAGGAGACGCAGGATGAGCCCCTGACCCCGTCCTTCCTGCCCCACACTGTCTCCACCATCTTACCTCTTCTAATGCTGACCCAGGGCCATGTTCTCTTGTCTGTCCCACTAATTGTGCCCTGGAGGGCAGGGGCTACACCAAACTCTTCTCTCCCTTGCCCCTAGGGCCTGTCATAGGTCTGGGCCCTGACAGGCATCTCAGGCAACGGCTGAGGTCACCAGGTCCACGGGTCATCAGGAGCTGAGTGTGGGTCATGCTGACTGTAAGGGACCTAACCCAGTGCAGAAAATGCTCTAGGCCCTGTGAGACAAGCCTTAGGCAGGTTTCTGTCCCACCACCTGTGTGGGGGCAACCAACTTTCGACCTGCCCTTGAGAAAATGATCCTCTGCTCATGAGGGTCCTGCAAGTCCACAGGCACTGAGGCAGCAGGGTGCTGGGAGCCAGGGCCACACAGTCATGTCGGAAAGAGAGACTTCCAAGAGAATAAGCATATAGCATGTGAATTCGTGATGCTGTGGGTTTGTTTTGGTATGGGTATTAGTGTGATGTGTATGTTGTGTGTAGAGATGTATGCATGGAAATGTGCATGTGAATGTGCGGTGTCTATGTGTGTGAGTTTGTGTAAGTGCACAGGGATAACCGTGTGGTGTGTGTGTGTGTATGCGTGTGTGCATGCGCGCATGTGGGCATGCACACTGGGGAGGGGGTAGGCAGGGATGTCAGGGAAGACATGGAACCTAGGAGGTGACAAGTACAAAACACTAGTATAAGGCACCAGAAGATTCTGAACACTCCCTCACTTCTCCCCCCAAAAAAGCCAGCTCTGCGGACTCAGTGATCTCTATAAGGAGAGTGTGTCTTGTTCATGGTCTCACCCTAGAGCCCAGTTTTGTGGGAGCACCCAGGCTAAATGGCAGGGCCAAAGGTGGTGAGGATCTAGGTGGGGAAGTCACTGGTGGGCCTGGCAGGGTATGGGACCCTCTGGGCGGCATGCAGAGGTTGTTCTGAAGTGGGCGGGAAGAAGTGTGCCAGGTTGCAGAGGCCTAGTAATTCCTGAGCTTTCCTTCATGGCCTTGCCCCAGGCGGCACTGTCCTGCCTGTCTGTCAAAATGGTCACAGCCTCTGCCAGCGGCCAACCTGCCAGTTAGAAGGAAACTCTTGGGGTCACAGGTGGGGCTCCAAGAGCAGCTATGATCAGGATTGGAATCCAGGAGTCTGCACTGCATGAGGACTCCTCCGAACCACAGAGTTTGACCCAACCACATGTAATTCGTGCTTAGACCATCACCTGGGCTCCAGAGCTTTCTGAAAAGGGAGGCATTGGCGTCTCCCTGCCTCCGACCATTAGGGCAGAAACTACCTGCCTTATGAACTGCTGCCCACTGCTTCCCCTCGTCCCAGGACTTTCCATCAGGGCCACAGAGAGCAGCAACCCCCTGCCTCCGACATGCCTCCAGGGACAGGTAGCTCCTGCTCCAAGAGACACCTCAGTGGCACTGGGAAGGGTATGGATGTGAGCAGAGCCACACTGAGGGCGCTCTAATTGGGGAGGAAGGCACTGAGGCCTGGGGACTAGAGGGCCCCTCATCTGTCTCTCTGCTCTTCTGCCACCTTCCCCAGTGCCATGGGCACCACCCCTGTTGGGTGAACCGCCACTGTCTCCAGGCCAAGAGCTGATGGGCAGCTTGTGTAGTGCTCCCAGGTGCTGCTGGGGCCGGTCGGGCGGAAGAGACACCCTGCCAAGCCAGGCTCTGCACTCAGAATCCCCTCCCCAGGCCACAGCACCCCTCCTGCTACACCTCTGCTTGCATGCTACCCTGGTCTGGAACAGCCCCTGTCTCTTCATTGAAGGCAGGGACTCCTAACCTCTTGTGAACCAGAGACCTCCCTGGCAGTCTGCTGAGCCTACGGTCTCCTTGTAAGTGGGTGACGTCAGTGACACAGGAGTATAGAGAAACCCATTCAGAACTGAAAGACACTTGAAAATCTCTGAAGACACCAGTTGGTTATGCACCAGCATTCTTCTGGCAGCAGGTCTAATCACCCCCATGAACTGGAGCAGCAATGCGTGTAAACGCCAAGAGACCCGTAACCCCGCGAGGGGACAAGAAAACGGCTGGGGTCTGTGCTGTGCCCAAGCCAGCAGCTTCCTGCTGCCCACGTTCCTGGCTGAAGGAGGTGCTGAAGAGCCACAGAGGCGTGTGAAGATGGAGGGGCGGTTCTCTCCAATGCAAGGCCCCTGAGCTGTGGACTCCCATCCCTGGGGGGTCCACGGACCTAGGGAAGCCCCTGGCTGCGAGGGTTGGCCATAATCTCCTCCACGGCTTCTCTGACCGTGGTGATTCCCCAGGCTTCTCCCACTGTAAGCTCCAGCAGCACCAGGGTGCTGGGCTCCTTTCTCCAAGCCTGTCTGGCCCTCCACAGCTCTCAGCACTTTCCAATCCCCAGGCATGAACCCGCAAATGCTGGTCGGACTGAATTTCCCACACCTCCATCCCAAGTGAGGTAAGATGCTAGAGAGATGCTGCTTCTCTCACCTGGAAGTTGATGGCTGGATGCCCAGCGCCTTATAAGGCACGTGACTGGTTGCTGTGTGATGGCTAACGAGGACATGGTCCAGACACCGCCACCCCCTAGAGTGAGTGCTCTTGCCCTCTCTCGTGCTTTCCCAACACTAGAGGTTAGCTTGTTTCCCATTAGGTGGGGTTCAGGGTGCTCTGATTGCTTGCCCCAACTTGCACTAGTCCCTCAGGGCAAGTTGGAGCTGGGCCCATGAAGGACCAGGCCAGAAGCCACACATGGCCTCTGGGCCAGATTAGCGCCAGGTGCGTCCTACCTGCTTCACGTTGTAGCCGGTCTTGGCGCTGGTCTCAATGAACATGACACTCAGTTCTTTGGCGCGCTGCTCCCCCTCCTCGATGGTTATCTGTCTGTGAGTAAAGGGAGAGGGGAAAATGAGTCCCTGGTAGAGGCAGAGGGAGCAGCATGAGATGAGGAGGCCTAGGTCCACAACTAAGATCCAGATGAAGAGGTCTTGGGTGCAGGACGAAGGACACGGGGCCACAGCAGTACACCAGCCTGCCCCTGCCCTGTCAGGTTTGCCTTCCATGGTGCCTCTCAGCTCAGGAGCAGGCCCTGCGGCAGGCAGTAAACCATCCTAACAGTCGTGTGCATCTGTGTCTAGAAAGCTCTTCAAGCCACACAGTGCCCCTTGGGTGGTGTCATCAGTCCCCATCTCCACAGGACAGTGAGGTTAAAAGTGACTGCCTGCAGGTTGTATGGAGAGACACTTAGCAGTAGAACTGGACTTTGAGTCCCATTTCCCTTACTTCAAGGACAGACCTCAAATGAAGCAGGCTCGAAGTCGGATATTCGTGTAGATGGTCAGAGGACACTTCAGAAGGCCAGCGGTCCAGAACCTGTTGCTTTAGCTGACCAAGCTGGGGCCCCTGATGTGAGTGAACGAATGGGTGCAGGCAGCACCCGAGTCAGCCATGTCTGCACACTGGAGACTCAGTGACAGGAAATTCTGCCCGTTCACGGGCACAGGCATTTCGTGGGGACAGAGACACAAAGCAGAAGCAGAAGCCAATGGGGGCCCGAGGGACCGCCATCTGCAGCTGCGCTGTGGCCACGGCCGGGCCCCAGACCCCGCGCCGCTGTGCAGCCCTCTCGCAGAGCAGTGCCCCCGCAGACCGTGGAAGGTGGGGCCTCGGAGCTGAGCCGCTGCCATGGGCAAGGGTCTGCCAGGTGCTCGCAAAGCCTCCAGTGTCCCTTGGGGACCTTTCTCAGATGCACGGGGACAGGTCAGAAGCACAGACTCAACATTCCCGCATCCCAGAACTCCTTCTTCAGGAGATGCTGAAGGGGACTGGAGGGCAGGCTGGGCCTGTCAGCACCCTGCACCTTGCGCACCTACCTCTTGTCGGCCAGGTCCGTCTTGTTGCCCACCAGCATGATGATGACATCGCTGCCCCTCTCTGTCCTGACGTCGTCGATCCACTTAGAGGTCTGCTGGAAGGAGTTGAGATCTAGAGGTAGAAAGTGGGGAAACAATAGAGTGAGAGTCACCCTGAGCAGTAGAGGGCAAAGGTGGGAGGGAGCATGAGACCAGGAGCAGGAGGGAGGAGACTGTGCACTCTCACACCCAGACCAGTGAGTGCAGACCTTCTAGGAGTGGGGAGGGTGGGGTGGGGAGCATGTGTGTCTGGGCAGCTGCTGCCCCAGGGCCCTGAAAGACCCTCATGTTGCTGAACGATCCTGGGTTGTGGGGGTCACCCTGTTGGAAGGTCACTGTCATGATTTGCTACATGGACTAGTGGTTTTAGGGGCCCACCTGAGAATCAGACCTGACTTTGGGGGTCAGAGCAGAGTGTGAGAAATGGTGCTTGGCAGCCAAGCCAACTGGACTTGGCTGAGCTCAGAAACGGGTGTGCATGTGTGTGTGTTGGTGGGGAACCAGAGCAGCTCCTGGGGGAGAAGGGCCCTATACAGTGGTCTCCCACTGAGGGGGGTGGCACTGGGAAAGGCCAGAGTTTCTGAAGAGAACCCTTGATCTGTAAGTAAGAGGAGGGAGAAGGTGGCTCCAGGAGAGACAATAGCCACGAGAGGTAAGGCCATTTCAGGGCAGCCCTCTCCTCAGTCAGAAGATGTGACAGACCTTGGGGAGTGGTCACAAAGGCAATGCCCACCACTCAGCAGCCCACGCACCTGAGAGGGGGCAGGAAGCCTGTCCCAGGAACCCTCAGTTTCCCCCAGCCTACTCTCCCTCCTGCTCACATCAGGCTGCACAAACCCAGGCTGAAGGGCCCCGGTCCCACCTGTACTCAAGGTGGAGGGGGTGTGTGGTCAGAGGAAAGCATGGAGAGAGGAGATGGGCAGAGCCTGGGGCAGCGGGCTTAAAGCAGTGGGGTACACGTGCTTCCCCATGTGATTTCAGTGCTGTGGACAGCACCCAGGGTGTCCTCCCCACACAGGTGTAGGCACAGCACAAGGGCTAACCAGGTGTGCTCTGTTACACCTGTCTGCGCAGCTGAGGCTTCGCACCAGGCCCTCTCCCTCCCCGCACCATAAGTCTTCCTCAGAGCTGTGCAGTTCTCTCAGGAACAGCTGTCCCAGCCAGAAGAGCTACACTGTGTGGGAAGCGCAGCCCACCACGGCTCTCCAGACCTGCTTGGCCTCCCCTCCCAGGAGAGCCTATGAGGAGCTGGTATGCCACCTGACAAAACCATGGCTGCTGGGTCATGACTGGCCCAGAGACCAGTGTCTTCCCCCAACCTGACACATACACACACACAAGTCGCTCCATAAGGGTCTTTCTGGCCATCAGGGCCAAAGGGGGCACAGAGGGGTGGGAGCAGGCCAGCCTCATCTCTGCTCACCTCTACACAGCCCCCCCCCCCCCCGGCTATGGGCAGGGCCAGCTCAATCCCATACACCCATGCCTGTCCCAGGAGGATGGGTGAGGCTGGAACCCATGCTGGTGTTCGAAGGCAGCTCACCCCCTACAGCAAGGACCTGTCTTCCTGCAGTCAGAAGACAAGCATACACAGCATACACATGTGCGTGTGTGCACGCGCGCACACACACACACACACACACACACACACACACCCTGGAGCCTCTGTGAGCCCCCCTCCCTCTGGCACCTGAGGCCCAAACTCACTTGTGATGTCGTACACCACCACAGCCACGGTGGAATCCCGGATGTAGCTGGGAATCAGGCTGCGGAACCTCTCCTGGCCGGCTGTGTCCCAGAGCTGCAGCCGCACCTGTCACAAGGAGAGCAGGGGGTCAGGGTAATCCTCATGGTGGAGTGGGGCTGGGGGAAGGCCCCGGCTCTGTGATGTGGGCACTGCCAGCTCTGTGGTAGGCACAGGCCCTCTCGGTGGTGCCCGGCTAAAGGCTCCAGGTCATTAAGTCCAAAGGAGCCCTCCCTGTGCTTCTAGTTCTAAAGTCAGGCACTCACCGTACGATCTTCCAAGTACATGGTTTTTGACAAGAAGTCAATCCCAATGGTTGCCTATTAGAGAAAAACAAGGAAAGGTTAAAATGGAAAGGTCTCAGGCAAAGGGGCAAAAGCTCAGTGATCCAGACAGTGACAGCCAGCAAGAGAGGGGACACCCATGCCAAGCCTAAGGCAGGTCCTGCTCTGCTGTCCCTGCCTGCTCTCCACACTCAACAGTGAATCCAGTCATGTATCTCAGAGGAAGCAGGTTGGAGTTAAGTAAGGATGAGGACAGGTTTTCAGGGAGTGACAAAAGTGCTTTGAGAAGGCGACAAGAGCCAGGTGAGGAGGCTTCCTCAGAGTCAAGGCCACTGGCAGGTGTATCTCCTACCCTGCTCAGGTGGGGCCCTCGAGGAGAATGGGCTGGGCAGTCTCCCAGCCCAAGCCTGCTTGGCCTCACCTGCCTCCCACACTCACAGCCTCCTCTTGAGGCTCCTGAGACTCAGGTACCCAGGCTTGGGCTCACCTCTGCCTCCAGCAGGTGGGGATGGAGTGAGTATCAGGGCAGCTTGCTGCTATGTGGGCAGCAGAGAGCAGCTGGTCTTCCTCTGGGCCATCACAACCCACCTGGAGCAGCATCTTCCTGGGATAGCGCACTCTTTCCTACCCAAACCAACATATTAGGAGCTGACTGTCCCCAACACACCTATGCCACACCTTTGTGCTCTTTCCTGGCCTTGGGCAGAGGCAGCTGGGCAGGGTGCCATCAGCCTTGTGGCCAGATGGCCAGGACCCACCACTCACTCGCTGTGTAGCCTTGGGCAGGCCACCCAACCTCTCTGGGCTCACCTGCCTCACAGCATCTATGATAGGAGCTCAGATGCTGTTGGTGTGCAATGGAGATGACACTGTTATGCAGTTCCTAGTAACGAAGACTCAGACACGGACTGAGTGCCTAGGGCACTGATTCAGTACAGTGTGGCACACCCATGGGATTAGAATCCTTAGCAGCCATTTAAAATCATGTTCTTGAAAAATATTTAAGGATTTGAGGAAATAGGTTATCAAGTGAAAAAAAGGTTGTAAACATCATGTATAGTGTGACCCCAATGTGATGAACTGAAGTAGAAGTATTCTTCATATGTTCTTAGATACTAAAATGAAGGGAATACACTAAAGCCTTAATAACACCAGTGTGAATAATGACATCATGGACAATTTTTTTTTTTTACTTCCCTCATTTTAACTTCCTCTATTTTCCACTTCTTCTACAATGAAAGTATAATAGTTCTAGAGGTAGAACTAGAGTATTTTGAAACAAAAATAAAAGACTAAAAATAAGCTTAATTGTATGGGAAATTGTGCAGCGACTTCCGATTACAAAAACCACAACCCAGGGAAGCCCGAGGAAACAGAAATACCCACGTCCACAGGTCCCAGGTTGTCTGCAAGCATACATGCACTTTGGGACCTCCAACTCATTCCACTAAGGAGTTAAAGGAGCTATATCCACCCAGAAGCCTGCTTTAATGCAAAGTTGTGGAGTGTTGAGACATCTCACAATTCTAGAACATGGGTGCTAGACACGCGCCTTAGACATAATGTAATCCAACCCCTCTGGAGATGAAAGATCAGGGAAGTTAGAGGGTACACACCTTGTGTGACTTTACAAGTCAGGGGCAGAGCTGGAAGGGTTGGCACCAAAAGCTTCACAACACTTGGGCTCTTTCTACCCCAGCTTGGCGCACCTTTCCTATGTGGTGTAGTCACTGGGCAACAAGTCTGGAATTGACAAGTGGCTTGCGGACCCAGCCTTGTTCCTTAAGTCATATAACAATCACTAATGAATGAAGTGCGACAGTCCTCATCTTCGCATACCCTTAAGGAGAAATGTGCAGACCAGGTGGAAATCTCTCACTTCATCAGTGCTCCCTGGGCTCCCCAGGGAGTGCCAAGCTCCTTCAGTAAAATGATCCTGGAGCTGAAAACTGGGTGTATGACCTCAAGGACTGGTGGCAGGGACTGCTGGCTGTCCTCCATATGCAGTCTCCCTTTCCACTGTAATAGGATTCTAGATGTGTAGATGGGTCAATGGCTGCCCCAAACAAAGGTGATATTTCCCAGCTTTCTTTGCAGGTAGGTGGCTAAAGTCTCGTCAGTGAGATGTAAAGGTGATGTATGCATCTCCTGGGATGGGTCCTTCATGGGGGGATGGAATGGGGTGACATGCTCACAGCTGCCCTCTTTCCCTTTCCTGTGGCTTAGAATGAAGACAGGTAGAGAGATGGTGTTGAGTCATACTGGCCCATCCAGATGAAGGTGATATGGGAGTGATGACAGAGCAACCAGATGGAGGAAGCCTGAGTCCCTGACCCAAGGGAGCCACCTCAATGCTCTAGACTGCTTACACCCACACTGTTGGGTGAGAGTGAACAGAACTTCTATTTTGCTTTAGCTACTATTATTTTGGTTGCTTTTAACACAGACTAACAACAGTCTAACCAATAGAGCAAAGAACCATGGAGAAACATATCCCTCAAAGGTAAGCAGCATGGACTTAGTGATAATCTTTTTTTTTTTTTAAGATTTTATTTATTTATTTGACAGAGAGCGAGAGGTCACAAGTAGGCAGAGGCAGGCAGAGAGAGAGGGCGAAGCAGGTTCCCCGCTGAGCAGAGAGCCCGATGTGGGGCTCGATCCCAGGACCCCGGGATCATGACCCGAGCCGAAGGCAGAGGCTTAACCCACTGAGCCACCCAGGCGCCCGACATAGTGATATTCTTGAGGACAGTGTAACAATGAAAACCCCAATCTACTTCATGTGGGCACAAGCCACTTCTATTTCCATGGAGGACTGAGAAGTCACCAGATGACATGACAAGAATTATGCCATTTGGACCAACCCTTAGCAAAGCTCAACTCCGTGGCCTCCACAATCATAAACGCCATTATTGGACACCCACACACTTTATCTCCATCGCTCCTCACAAAAGCCTGACCACATGAGTGGTACTGAGGAAAGAGTCTGGAAGAGGCCAACCTCCTCCCTCCTTCATCCTCCCCACTTTCGTCCCACTTTCATGCTTCTTCCACATCAGAGAGACTTCTGATTCCTTAATTGGACCACTCTGTCCCTAGCAAGCTAGGCCACTGAGCCGCAGCAGACCTTCCCATGGCTATACAAATTCTTGCCAAAACATAGGCATTGTCCCTGGGAATGACTGAACCATCAGCTTGGCCCAAAAATATATTCCTATGTTTAGTTTCCAATAATGGCTGTGTAGTTTCTATCAAACTAACCCTCCCACAGATAACTATTCCAAAACTGTGGAGAAATACAAGAAATAATTTTTAAGCACTGAAGACTAATCAAAAGTTGACAGAAAATGGAGGGGTTACAATCTCTGAAGGAAGGAAAGAGAACCAAGTACAATCCAACATCTAACCAATTTTTTCCTCTGAGGTTAACTTCCTAATCATTTAAGTTAGAAGGACTTGGTAAACACCTCAGACTTTCCATGGGAAAACCACAGACTTTCCATGGGAAAACCACAAGGGCTGGCTTTGGGAGGAAGATTATCATGTCAGGACTAAAGGTCACACCAGAAGACTGAGGGAAAAACCAAAAATGAACTATCTTAACAAAATTTAAACATGGCATATAATCCCTGCTCCCTTACCCCCCCAAAAATATTAGCTGTCCATAATTTATTTGCCTATTAAAATAAAACTCAACACTCTTCAGAAGAAAGTAACAGAACATAGCAATCTCCATAACTTATTATAGGCACACTTCATTTTACCATGCTTCACTTTATTGTACTTTGCAGATAACGGTTTTTCACAAATTGCAGGTCTCTGGGAACTCTGTGTAGAGCAAGTCTACTGGGGCAATTTTTGCAATAACGGTTGCTCACTTTATGTCTTTGTGTCACATTTTGATAATTCTCATAGTTTCTCAAATTTTTATCATTATTACATTTTTATGGTACTCTTGTGATGAGTGATCTTTGGTGTTACTATTATAATTGTTTTGGAATGCCATGAACTGTACCCATATAAGACAGTGAACTTTATCGATAAATGTTGTGTGTATTCTGACTACTCCATGGCAACTGGCCATTCTTCCATCTCTCCCTCTCCTCAGGCCTCCCTATCCCCTGAGATACAAGAATATGGAAATCAGGCCAATTAATGACCTGCAGTCATTGCCTCTAAGGCAGAGTTGCACATCTCTCACTTTAAATCAAAAGCTATAAATTATTCAGCTTAGTTAGAAAGGATGTCAAAAGCTGCAATAGGTTAAAAGGTAAGCCTCTTGCACCACACTGTTAGCCAAGTTGTGAACGAAGGAAAAGTTCTTGAAGGAAACTAGAAGTGCTACTCCAGTGAACAGATGGGCCAGATGGGCCATAAGAAAATGAAACAACCTTATTGCTGATATGGAGAAAATGTTAGTGGTCTGAATAGAAGATCAGACCAGCCACAACATTCCCTTAAGACAAAGTAAAATATGGAGATAAGCCCTAATTCTCTTCAATTCTATGAAGGCTAAGAGAGATAAGGAAGCTGCAGAAGAAAACTTTGAAGTCAGCAGAGGTTTTAAGGGAAGCAGCCGTCTCCATACATCAAAGTGCAAGGGGAAGCAGCCAGTGCTGATGTAGAAGCTGCAGCAAGAGATCCAGAAGCTTGAGCTAAGATAACTTGCAAAGGTGGCTGTGCTAAGTAACAGATTTTTAAGGTAGACAAAGCAGCCTTACGCAAAGATATCATCTAGGGTCATCTAGCTAGCTATTGACTGGCTGACTGATTTGAGAGAGAGAGAGAGAGAGCACGAGTGAGGGGGAGGGGCAGAGGGAGAAGGAGAAGCAGGCTCCCCACTGAGCAGAGAGCCTAATGTGGGGCTCTATCCCAGGACCCTGAGATCATGACCTGAGCTGAAGGCAGATGCTTAATCAACTGAGCCACCCAGGTGCCCCTAGGGCTTTCATAGCTAGAGAGGAGAAATCAGTGCCTGACTTCTAAGCTCCAAAAGATAGGCTGACTCTCTCGTTAGGGGCCAGTGCACATGGTCA